TAGCTGTGAAAAACTGATATCCACTCTATTTGACATGCGAGGGTAGCTGTAAAAACTGATATCCACTCTATTTGACATGTGAGGATAGCTGTGAAAAACTGATACCCGCACTGGTTGATGTGCGAGGATAGCAGTGAAAAATTGATACCCACACTATTTGACATGCGAGGATAGCTGTGAAAACTGATGCCTACTCTGTTTCATGTGCGAGGATAGCTGTGAAAAACTGATACCCGCTCTATTTCACATGCAAGGATAGCTGTAAAAAATGATACTCATTCTATTTGATGTCCGGGGACAGCAGGGCCGAACTGATACACACCCTATTTTATGTGCGAGGATAGCTATGAAAAACTGATATCCACTCTATTTGACAAGCGAGGATGGCTGTAAAAAATTATGCCTACTCTATTTGACAAGCGAGGATAGCTGTGAAAAACTCATACCCACTTTATTTGACATGCGAGGATAGCTATGAAAAACTGATATCCACTCTATTTGACAAGCGAGGATAGCTGTGAAAACTGATACACACTCTATATGACAAGCGAGGGTAGCTGTAAAAAATGACCGTTAACAACTGATACTTATCCTATTTGACATGCGAGGATAGCTGTGAAAGACTGATACCCACTCTATATGACAAGCGAGGATAGCTGTGAAAGACTGATACCCACTCTATATGACATGTGAGGATAGCTGTGAAAAACTTATATCCACTCTATGTGACACACAAGGGCAACTGTGAACAACTGATACCCACTCTGGTTGATTTGCGAGGATAGCTGTGAAAAATTGATACCCAAACTATTTGACATGCGAGGATAGCTGTGAAAACTGATGCCTACTCTGTTTCATGTGCGAGGATAGCTGTGAAAAACTGATACCCACCCTATTTGACATGCGAGGATAGCTGTAAAAAATGATACCTAGTCTATTTGACATGCGAGGATAGCTGTGAAAAACTTTTGCCTACTCTATTTGACATGCGAGGATAGCTGTGAAAAACTCATACCCACTCTATTTGACAAGCGATGATAGCTGTGAAAAGTGATATCCGCTCTATTTGACACACAAGGGCAACTGTGATCAACTGATACCCACTCTATTTGATGTGTGAGGGTAGCTGTGAAAGCTGAAGCTGACTCTATTTGATGTGTGAGGGTAGCTGTGAAAGCTGAAGCTGACTCTATTTGATGTGTGAGGGTAGCTGTGAAAGCTGAAGCTGACTCTATTTGATGTGTGAGGGTAGCTGTGAAAGCTGAAGCTGACTCTATTTGATGTGTGAGGGTAGCTGTGAAAGCTGAAGCTGACTCTGTTTGATGTGAGAGGATAGCTGTGAAAAACTGATATCCACCCTATTTGACATGCGAGGATAGATGTGAAAGACTGATACCCACTCTATATGACATGTGAGGATAGCTGTGAAAACTGATACCGACTCTATTTGACATGCGACGATAGCTGTGAAAACTGAAATCCACCCCATTTGACATGCGAGGATAACTGTGAAAGACTGATACCCACTCTCTATGACATGTGAGGATAGCTGTGAAAAACTGATATCCACTCTATTTGACATGCGAGGGTAGCTGTAAAAACTTATATCCACCCTATTTTACATGTGAGGATAGCTGTGAAAAACTGATATCCACTCTATTTGACATGTGAGGATAGCTGTGAAAAACTGATATCCACCCTATTTGACATGTGAGGATAGCTGTGAAAAACTGAAATCCACCCTATTTGACATGTGAGGATAGCTGTGAAAAACTGAAATCCACCCTATTTGACATGCGAGGGTAGCTGTAAAAACTTATATCCACCCTATTTGACATGTGAGGATAGCTGTGAAAAACTGATACCCGCTCTATTTGATGTGCGTGGACCGCTGTGAACAACTGATTGGCTCTTTACTTGACATGCACAAACAGCTTTGGCTCATTATGTATTAACCTAAAATAACTAAATCGGCAATGGTTGTTATTACTTTTAACAGCGAAATATATTTTGACACAGGTCCGAATTTTGTTTGTATTTTAATCCTCTGAATCAAAACATTCAAATAAATTTAGAACGTCAGTGGAAACGAATAACCAGTTTTAACAGAAACAAATTGCGTTTTGGTGTAAAGGGAAAAATAGCCGTGAAAATTATATGAATGATCACCAGCAGTCAGTGATGACACCAGGTGTTCGCGAAAGGGTAAGCAGGTGGTGCCCTACACTCACCGTTCACAAAATGTGCCTAAAATGATAGAGTTTGCCTGATGCTCCACAGCAGAACTGCCATGCGACGTCGGACTGATAGTCAAAAGAAAATGATTATTTTTTTGTATAACCAGTGGCGGCCATCTTGAAAAATGTCGGCCATTTTGGATTTTTGATCGGCCACCGTTATTTTATGGACAGGGAGCCCATGGTGAGCAATCATGCCAATTTTGGTGCTTGTATCACAAAGTGAACGATTCGGCCTATTTTGGTCTGTTATCCGCCCTACTAGTAAACAAACCCGACAATCAAGTGATTGATGAACCGGACAATACAGTTAGATCATGTGTAATTACAATTGCTGTGTAGAAGTACAGAGATTCCGATGCTTACAAGTAAACGTCAGTTTTAATGTCTCAGACCAAACATTCTTTTGTAGTTCACTCAGCATACTTGAATATGCTACTAAGTTTATGATCAATCTATGATGAATGAGCTTAAAATTCATTCCATTTTGTAAGTCCAAAAGACGTTTCGTCTTTGTTTCAAAACCAAAGAGGATGTAGACAAGGCGGTCCCTCTCTCCTTATATATTTTTACTTGAAGCGGAAATCTTAGTCATAATGATAAATGGTAATCAGATATCAAAATAAAATAACATTAATGATAAGAAACGGTTTTAATACTCAGTTATAATCGCATTTAGTAAGTCGAAGTCAAGGTTAATTGTTCTGTTCTATTGCTCTACTGTAATCCAAGTACAGTGTGAGTGTCCGCTTCATGAATAACGAGACAATATCACGGCACAGATGCGTGGCGGGTTTAAAAACTCGTTACACACACTTGTTCACTTCTCCACTTTAGCTCAAAGGAAACTATACACCGCCAAATATTACATAAAATTTCACACAAATAAACGGCGAAACAAGCCTAAATGTCGCAAAAACTCCAAAACGACTTTTTCTGATGTAACACGAAATGCACGTTCATATTGAAGGTATAAAACGCGACACGTGAACAACACAGCTGTAAAAAGAACACAAAAAATATGCCACGTTTGAGGCAGAGGCAGAGAGAGAGAGAGAGAGAGAGAGAGAGAGAGAGAGAGAGAGAGAGAGAGAGAGAGAGAGAGAGAGAGAGAGAGAGAGAGAGAGAGAGAGAGAGAGAGAGAGAGAGAGAGAGAGAGAGAGAGAGAGAGAGAGAGAGAGAGAGATTATTTTATTATTGATCGCCATATCCGGACAATTCATCTGAGAAATCAACGGCAGCGACGGCACCAGGACACCGTATCAGTCGACATACAGTGTACCGGCGACTAAGGGAACATGGCATTCGAGCACGTCGACTCTAGATACCGCGGAGTGCATCTGACTCTTCAAAACCGACGTCGTCGATTGACATGAGCCGGCGAATTCGACGTTGGCAGATGCGTGATTGGCGACGTGTGATGTTCACCGACTACAGCAGGTTTTGTCTGTACAGTAATGACGGCCAGGCTCGTGTTAACAGACGAGTAGGTGAACGTTTAGCGCCGAATTGCGTTCAGTAAGACGGACTGTTTGGTGATGGTAGCGTGATGGTGTGGGGAATGATCTGCGGCGATCTCAAAACGAGACTTGAGATTATTCTTACCATCCTAAATGCTCGAAGATACAGGCTGTGTTGCTATTTATCCAGCAATAACCACGTGACATTGTATTCCAACACGATAACGCAAGGCCTCATACAGCAAAACTGACAAATGCACAACGTTAACATCGTTGTTTTGCCGTGTTCTCCCATCATAGAACATTTATGGGACTACCTGGATCGAAAAATCAGAAGACTACTAACGCCACCTGTCACCGCTCAAGACCTGGAACAATGTCTACTACAGGAATGGCAATGGATCACGCCTAGCGTCATTCGTCGTCTTACGTCATCAATGCGTCGACGTGTTTTGGCGTGTATTGAAGCCAATGTTGGTCACACTCACTATTGATTCAGCATTTGAAGACATTTTGCAGAAAAAAAACGCCTTGCTGATTTGTGTAAGAGTTCAGACTATGATACCGCGTGTCTTTCAGTGTCAGTCAAAGGGCACTTTCAACTTTGTATGAAATTGAGTACATTTGCTCTAGAACTGAATACTTTATTGGAATTAATCATATGTTCAATTATATATATATTGAATACTTTATTGGAATGAATCATATGTTCAATTATATATATTGAAGATGTTTTGTTGCATTTGTTTTAATGTACCAACATGTGAACAAAGCTCTAATATTCTCGGTCTACCAGCTTATACCTATAGAGCCCCCATACCCCACCCCACCTGCCCACCTATAAAAAAAATAATAAATAAATAAATAAATAAAATGAAAATAATAAATAAATAACTTAATTAAATAATATATAAATTACACAAAATGCACGTGCGAAACTTTTGACACACAAGGGCAGCTGTGAACAACTGATATGCACACTATTAGACACACAGGGACTGTTGTGAACAACTGATACCCACTCTATTTGACACACAGAGACAAGTGTGAACACCTGATACCCACCCTATTTGACACACAGGGACAGGTGTGAACAACTGATACCCGCTCTATTTGACACACCAGAGCATCCGTGAACAACTGATACCCGCTCTATATGACATGCGAAATGTTGAAATAAACAGGACAGGACAAACGTTTAATTTGCCAAATGCAAGAAAGCACACAGAAGAAATGTCACGTTTATCTCTGGAAGGGCGGGGGCGGTGGGGAAGCCAAGTGGTTAAAGCGTCCGCTCGTCACACCGAAGACCCGGGTAAGATTCCCCAAATCCGTAAAATGTGTGAAGCCTATTTCTGGTGTATCCCACCGTGATCTTGCTAGAATATTGCTAAAAGCGGCGTAAAACCATACTCACTCACGCCTTGGATCACAAATCAGTGGGAAGTTTCTTTTGCTCGTCAGTGAACAATAGAAGCAGTTTAAAAAATAAAAGTGTCATTGATGAAGTGGACTTAAAAAATCCCGAATGCCTGAACCTATTTGTGACTCGAGATGACAAGGTATGAGAATGTAAGTCACGACCCATACCTTGCGCGGCCTATTTCCTGACTCGCTTCGTGGTTTCCTAAATCACTCAAGTACTTAACACCACAACGTGATCTTATCCATGCAAGAATATCCGCCCGTTTCTACCCTTGCAATATTGAGCTTAATGTGTCTGGACGACCCGCGCCAAGAACAAAGTCCCTTGTTATGAAATCAAAACGAAAAATATTTCATCCTCAACAGACAAACAAAATGATATATGACCGCAATAAAGACATTCATTAATGCTGCAATTCCCTTAAACACAGAGGCTCACAGACCAGAGAGGCTTCACAGTATCAATTAACTCTGCACAGAATACCAGCAACACGAAACACCAAGCAAGGCACCTCTGAAAACAGCAATGCAATTGAGCCCTTGCCAAAAGTGTTCTGCCTTTTGAGTTGAAAAACAAGTTTGCACTCGGATATATAAAAGGTTCTTCGCTGAAAATGACCGAAAACTTTGAACTACGTATAAGATATGTAATTACTTAGTTTTAAAAATATTTTCTGGGCAAATTCGACAGCCGACGGCTGTGTCTGTGCCATAACAGCGACCATGGATATTGATTTTGATTTTGTAAAACTCTGACTGAACAGTCAACATCAGCCTCAGTACCTTAGCACAGAAAAGTAAACACAAAAAGACTTAGACTTAGTAGCAAGGATGGAAACCTGTCGAAAAAGAAAGAGGGTCTATGCCTTTTAGCGTTGAGCGAAATATTTATCTCCATATCCCAACACCTTTATATGACTGCAATTTGGTCATTTGTTCCAAATATATATAGAAGAATTAATAAAAATCCTTTTTCAAACGTGTATTTATAAAATCGCATCGGCATAAATTAAACCGAGTATGAGATGAAACTGATTTCAGATGGCCTAAAAAGCAAAATGGCGGTGAAAGTTCCGTGAACGGGACCACTGAATGTCGGTCATGTCACACTTATCCTTGAAAGAAAGACCTCGGGTTGGGTACGTGAAGGGAAACATTTCCATCTGACCCCATGTCTGACTCAAGGGTTGAAGAGTTGTACTTGCGTGATTGCAGCGGAAAATTACTTTGCCTTTTACAATATATGGTTTATCAGAATTGCAAGTTCTACTGACTTTTTTAAGTGAGGAAACTTCAAATATTTCTGCCTATTTATAACTTAATAACATCTGGAGACCTGAAAAGCATGAAGGTATTCCCGAATTCATTTTTTCTAATATATGTACGTACTTTTTTGTCAATGTGGACATTTGTTAATAATATCTCAGTCCATAACTATTGTTTTTTGCAACACTGACTTTTTGACTCACACAAATTGATATACACAAGAAATTGTTTCCAAGTCTAATTGAATTATTTGCTATAAAACGAATTCCAAACATGTTATGTTAATTTCATCTATCATTAACTAACAATATACAGATTAATAGAAAACGAAAGTCAGAATATATTTTTGGATACATTTTCCTGTCAATTGGTAAAATGACTGAAATATTTAAACTTTTCATAATTTTACCTTGTGAATCAAATTTTATACATTGACTAACGTGCACACAGCATCACACGGAGAGGTGTGTGGGAACAATATAGTATTGTGTGATGAAGTTATCAACCGAAAAGAACTATGATGATTCTGTTCAGTGCTACCTTAAACGAATGAAAACAAAAAGCAAGGGGTGTAATTACAACTAAGAAACCTTACTATGTAGTATGAGAAAATACCTTGTTGGAGATATGTATGCGTCAATATCCACATAAGGGAGCAGGTTTCCAAGCATCTGTAGCAGTTCATAGACACTTGTTCTATGCCACACGTCTTTGTAACAATCTAATATTTATATATACGGCGTTTGGGGATATTACAACTGTGTTTCTCAACTGATGACGTAGGTATGTTGCATGTGGGTCTCTGCATAGGTGTGAAGTCTCATTTGTAGGTTGACCCAGCACACGTGACTACTATTTCCATGATGTCATGATCCTAAACAAAGATTACACTATTTCAGAAGTTCAACAATCTGGGAAACTCATTAACTTTAACTGGCACATTCTGTGTGAGTTATAAAACTCTGACATGTGAAAACTCCAACGCAATGAATGTATCAGTATCACAAATTGGGAAACGTAATTTTAGTACTTGTACTTTCATGTGTTCCCTTATTCGTTTCTATGAGTATATTTTGTTTGTTTGTCTGTGCGATCTTTTGCACTCAGCAATATTCCAGCTATATGGCGGCAGTCTGTAAATAATCGAGTCTGGACAATCCTGTGATTAACAGCATGCGTATCGATCAACGTAATTGGGATCCCATTACATGTATCAACCAAGTCAACGTTCCTGACCGCCTGATCCCTTTAGTCACCTCTTACGAAAAACATGGATTGCTGAAGGCCAATTCTAACCCTGATCTTTACGATACGATATATTTGATGTGAAAATGATTTTCTGATGAGGTTCTAATTTTTTTATAAACAAGTAAAATTCACAAAACCATTTCCAGACCACGAGAACTCTCATCAAAAAGTTACATTGTCAGATACCAACTTAATAATTGCTATCAAATAGTGATGATACTTGGTACGCGAAAGGGTGACCAATATCCTGCCCATCATTCCCTAAATAGGAGAATAAACCAAACGACCCTAGAGGATACAATCAGTGTATGAAATAAGCCAAAACCCCAGCCAGACATCTGGGCTGGTAACTTCAAAAACTTATCAGCCCAGAAGAGATTTGACCAGTCCTTCTTAAATACTAAATAGACAGTGCCAGTGGACACGATTTCTGGAAAAAAATTCACTCGTCCATCGGACTGGCTAGCTGTAAAATTAGACCGTCCGGCAGAAATCTAGCCCGTCTCGGGCTGTCGGACGGGCATTATTTCATACACTGATGATACAAATGTAATAAATATGAGGATCCAAAACTATCTTTCACTTGAAAATCTGAAAAGAAAATGTTTTATGATGCAAATGAGCATATTGATGTACAAACATTGATGTACAACCATTTCAAACTTGTCGAGCAAATTGCTCCATGGGAGTAAATGTAAACTGGTTACAACATGGTGGGCATGCTGATGCAAAACGTGATTCAGCGAATAGTTCTTATTCTTCTTTAGGCATGTGCCCATTTCGTTCTGTAGGGAGTGCAACAGTTATATAAATATTGTGTGTAAAATAGGAAAACAGCCTAAAAAACGGGGGTTTCAAATATTACAAATATGTGCATCCAATACTTTATTTTTCTTGCAACTCTGGAACTCAAATGTCTTATGTCACAAAACAGCATATTAATGGATAAGTAGTGGATTATTTCTTTTATAACTTCCTTGTCACAGAAAATGTGAATGAACTACCAAAATTGATAGAATATGTCTAAACACCCACTGTACTGTGCCCAGTTAGTCAATCTTGTTAATGACCCAGCCAGCTAACCAACTATCAAGATTTTAATGATTCTTGTTGATGCATAAGAGCGTTACAGATGAGTGATGGTTTTTAGTTGACATATTCATGTGGTAGTACTTGATAGTATATGGTGAAAAGACTGAAACGGACATAAAAAGATCGAATTAGTTCTACAATAGTTCTGTCAGTTCAAAAGGTCATTGAAATTAATCTGTACAAAATCTTTTAGCTTATTTTTGTTTCTTACGTTATACATTCTAACATGAGACAAAGAATGCATGTAACTCATGGAAATGATTCCTACATCAATAATCAATAAGGAGAGAATTCAATCATATTTTCAGTGAAGTAAAATTTTGTGACCAATGGAGCCAAAACATAGCAAAACTTCAAAACATTTAAAAGTAAATTTAAAGCTCATTTCCTGACTAAAAGTTATGCTGAAAGTGACAAAAGCCTTACTCAGATAAAAGAAACAAAACGTACACTGTGGGGACTGTATAATTGTCTGACTTTAGTTAATTGGTTCCTAAATAGAGCTGCTGGGTAGCAGACGACATCCTGTTGCACACTCCGGCACAGCGATGACTTAACATAACATCACTGCCACAGGGTAATTTGCATATCACGTGACTGGACTTTTCTCTTGTTTGTAATCAAACGCGCATATTCATAATAAGAAGAGACTGGACTCACGAAAGCTTTCGGCGCTCTCTTCATAATGTTTTACATTGTTACATATATATTCTTCCACAACTGCGACAGTTAGGTCTATGACAGTACATATTTAGATATCAAACTGGTTGCATCGTTTGCTCTCCATCAGCTTCAATGACAGCACTTGGAGCCGTACAACCTATGTAAACAAAGGATATTTTCTCAGTGAAACTAAACCATTCTATTAAAGATGTTTAGTTAGATGTGTAGACGCGTCAAAAATTAAAAGAGTATAAGAAATCGGTACATTATATTGAATGGACAATGCAAGATGTGACGAATCGTCACATTTTTCTGGCCTGTGGCAGAGGAACTATGCTGGCTTGCCGCATGGAACTCTGGGTAGGAGAGTGATCTTGTTGGTGAGGGCTCACAAATCTATCTCCACTGGGAAGAGTTCTTCTGGGGGGAGGTAACTCTATAGCCGATAAACTGACTGAAGTGTCAATAAAACCTTTAATGGGTGTAACAGAACACCCTCTCATAAATGTATTTGGAGATGGAAAGTGCCCCTATAATTTAATTCATTCTTGCAGACCTGAACGAAAGAATCTATGTATTATTACGTGAAAAAAAACCTTTGGGGGCAAGAAATATACTGAA